TCTTGAAAGCACAGAGGCGGAAAGGGATCTTGGAGTCATTATTGACTCCAAGATGAACATGAGCCGCCAATGCCAGACCGCAGCCAGCAAGGCCAGCCAGACCTTGTCATGCATCCAAAGTTGCATCTCAAGCCGGTCCAGAGAGGTGATAATCCCCCTCTATGCGACTTTGGTCGGGCTGCAGTTGAAGTACTGTGTCCAGTACTGGGCACCGCACTTCAAAATGGATGTGGCCAGCCTGGAGAGAGTTCAGAGGAGGGCCACTCACTTGGTGAGAGGGCAGCAGGACAGGCCCTACAAGGAGAGACTGAGGGACCTGAACCTGTTCAGCCTCAGCAAAAGGAGGCTGAGGGGGAACCTGGTGGCCTACAAATTCATCAGGGGAGATAAACAGCAAATAGGTAGAGCCCTTTTCTCCCCAGCACCACCTGGGGTGACAAGGAACAATGGTCATAAGCTGATGGAGAATAGGTTTAGGTTAGAGATCAGAAGGCAATATTTTACAGTTAGGGTGGCCAAAATCTGGAACCAACTTCCCAGGGAAGTGGTCCTCCCCTCTACCTCAGGCATATTCAAGAGGAGGTTGGATGATCACCTGTCTGGGGTCTTGTGAACCCAGCATTCATTCCTGCCTGTGGCAGGGGGGCAGGCTAGATGATCTGTTCAGGTCCCTCCTGACCCTAGCTACTATGAAACTATGAAGGCTGGTCCACTTGAGCGCTACACTAGGTTATACAATTACTCTCACAGAGGGTCACATCTACAGCACTGCAAAGAGCTCCATTTGTATGACTATGGGCTAACAGGTAAAACAAATCTGAACTGCTAATATATATGTCATTCATAGTTGCATATGAGGAACCAAGTATGAAAGCAGGAAGAAGGGCTAACTGAAAGGCAGATGCTGGGCACAATTTTTTTTCTTGTAGGAATTTCGAAATGCTGGGAGAGAATGGCTTACAAAGCAGCAGAGCCCTTAGAGTAAGTAGCTCCTACTGTTTTATGTAAGGCCAATGACAACATTTCAAAGGTGAACTGTTGGGTTTTAGGATAGCTTGATCCCAGCTTCTGGGATTTTTCTCTGCAGAAATATAAGCAAGACTTCAGTGCACAGCACATTATATTCTTTTCAAAACTGGAGAGCTTATTTGGTAAGGTAACCAGATTCACTCTACCTATGTTGTATAAAATTCAGGACCAATGTTCTACTGAACAGCTTACAGGATACTTACTAATATGAACTACAATGGACTTGACTACTTGTATTAATTACAATCACAAAAATATCAAACCCCAACTATTTCCTTTTTTATTTCAATTTGATGCATTCTACCTACCAGCAATCTCTAGGATAATAACTCTACTTACACCACGATCATTGCACTTCTGCTTTACATCACAGCTGTAACCCAGCTGGCTTGCATTAACACATTCAAAGTTTATGCAGGCCTAAAAAAAAATAGGAAATCACTTTCAGAAACAATACTTCAACTAATCCCAATTATTTTATAAACATAATATGTATGAGCAGTAATACTGCAAACAAATATTCAATAACAGGGATGGCTAAAAGACTTCATACATCCTAGCTTTATCATTTAGGATATCACATCTTTCCCAGTTATGAAGATATACTTGGATGCACGTGATTTCATTAAATGATGACATCAAAATATAACTGTTTTGCAGCATTGTTTAATGGCACAACACGCTGTATAATGCAGAGCTAAAAATAACACTTCTGGCATGTCTGTGTACATACATGTATGTTAAGTAGTATGTATTATATTACTGTGTATGTGTATGTGGTTATATGTGACAGAGAGCCATCATGAGGCTGGTTCAATCATTGGCCCGCTCACCTGTCTCATCTGCCACACCTTTGATGTATCTAAGAAGTAGTTGTTTATAAGGCGGGAGGTTGCCCATTTATTGCCCAATGCCAAGGGCGTCATACAGGGCTCCGTACCAACCCTACACCATGTCCCATGCCTCGCAGAGGGTATCACTGTATGGCTCTGGCCTCACACTGGGTCTCACTATATTCCAGACTGACATTCAAACCCTACTCTGGATCCCTCCTACTCAGGCGGCCTAACATCTGCCATCATCCTGGGTTTCAAAACTCCCTAGACTCCTTTCCCTCTCGGAAGTGGTCCCCTCTGGGACCTTTGGCTTTGCAGGCCCTGGTCTTGCCTCTAGGCCAGTCGGGACTCCAGGCCTCTAGCTTCTGGCTGTCCCTCGCGCTGGGCATCCTTGCCCTTTGACCACCATGGTCCTGGCCCCAGCATTGACCAGTCGATTCTCTGGGTACGTTCTTGAGCAGCTAGCCCTCTTTCCCATACAGATCTGCCTTCTCGGGCCCCTCCAAACACTGTTCTCACTCCATGAGCTTGTGGAACACATAGTTTCTCTGGACTCCTCCTGGGCCCTCTGTTCCGCCCTCACTGGGCTCGCTTGCTCACTGCCCCTCACCGGGCCTCTACTCTGGTCAGCCTATGTGCAGTCCTTCAGGCCCCCACACAGACTCTACTCTATGCAGCCTCTGGCTCTAATTCCGCCCCTTCACTTGGGCCTCTGGGCCTTACACCCCATGGGCCTCAGGCCCCACCCTGTGGGCCTTGGCCCTGTGCTTCTCTGTCAGGGTGTGCTCCCCTAGTCTTTCCACTCCCCAGGGTCACCCCCGAGGCAGTGGAGGTGGAGGCTTTCCAGCACCCCATACTTGCCTTTCACTGGGGAGGCACAAGCGTGGCATTTCCTGAGCCACAGGCAGCCCCACCATACCATCCAGCCCTAGCAGTGTGCAATTTCAGGTCATGCTCATGCCCCAGGACCAGGAACCTCCTCATTCCCATAGTTCCTACCCTTGACCTCCAGGTGTTCTGGGAGCAGCAGATCTCCAGTTAGGCAATGCTGTCTCTCTGGCTCCCTAGATGCAACTGCCAGCTCAGCTCCTATGGCCTAGCCTTATACTGAGGCTGCCCTGGCCTTCCTCCAATCCAGGAGCCTGCTTGCGGTCATGTGACCATCTTGTTAAGCCTCACTGCACCTGCTGGCTGCTCCACAGTCTGCTCAAGCCTCTTAAAGTGGCAGGCATCAAAGATGCCCTGCCACAGTATACTACATACACATAGGCACATATTTGTAACTTACACAAAAGTTGCATTAAAAGAATATTAGTTAAGTTGCAGTCAAGTACTTAAAAATTAAGAATGCCAGTTTTTATTTTGTGAGGGGTAAGGATTTTTTAGGGTGATATCTTTTATTGGACCAATGATATAATTAGGATAAAGTCAGACATGCTTTCATATGTAAGATATTCTTTCTCTGGTTGCCTTAGGAAGAATGTCTTACATTCTAAAGCTTGTCTAACTTTATCCCAACTACACAGTTGGTCCAGTAAAAGATATCGCCCTATGAAATCCTTGCCTCACATATAATTTCTGGACCATCACAGCTACACCATTTCTTTGTACTACTGTAACATGAAATATTTGTTTTTGTACAGTCTTATTTCTTGCCCCTTGTGTATTCATCATGTGCTATTTCTACTATTCATTTTTGTAATCTAAACAAAGTTCTCTTAGTGTTGAGTTTGTATAGAATTGTACTGGTAAGTTCTTAGTTCTTTTTGAAGGAAAAAAAAGTAAAATAAAATCTTTTAGGTCCAATCCCACAACAGGCATAAGCAGCTGAGCGTGAACCACGAGGCAACACAGACTGCTACTACACGCATTTTCTACCAGAAAAACATTTCCTATATGAGGGTCTGGATTACTGGGTCTTGAGGTGGCCAGGTGGGGGCAGGAGGCATTAGTTCTCTTCCCCTGACTAGAGGGTACATGAGCTATAAGGCCATGTGTTGGAGATTTGTGGTGGGTACCTTATAATGCAATTAGTTTGAAGGTTATGATCCCACAGGGTTATCAGAAGAAAAAATGAAATGAAATGCAGTGAGGTGCTTTTGAAAGCAAAGGTGTATTAAAGAGAAAACTTTCCATTACATGTGATGTATTCTACAATAACTACTATGACAAATCTTACCTTCCCTTCTCCACATGCAGTTCCTGCATGAACTTGAGCTGGATCAGGGAAATCTGACCCTAGATCAAAGTCAGTAGTCAGACATACCACACCAGTCAAGTTGTTGAAAAGAGTCCAAGCAGGAAGATTTTGTAAACTGTCAGATGTACAGTGAAGTTTGCCACACAAACTGTGTCTGTAATTAATGAATGAAATACAAATGTAACATAATTGGGAGCAATAGAAGCATTACAAAAATATTATGCAGTAAGAACATATCACAGTTTACACTAGTGAGGGCCAAACTTTTTGGCAAGTGTGCCACAAATTAAGCCATACGCTATGCCCCCTTGATCCCCCTCCTTTAGCTGATCTAATGCTCTGTTTCTTGCTCCCTGCTCCATCTGCCCTTTGCTGCCTATCCCTACTCTGACCTGCCATGTACCATATGCAGAAACAGCCTGTACCACAAGATGGCCACCCTTGCTTTACACTATGAGCAAATAATTTTCTCTCGATCGAAGTTTCATATATTCAGAGTTTGTAACAGCATACATTAGTCACATAGAAGATCTTCTTTCTAAATACATATATGTATACCTATATGCCTACCAGAATTCACATAGAAAGCATATATGACAAAGGGTGAGATCAGATGATGTGCATACCAATCATGATTTATGAAATCTCCAGTGAATTACGCAAATCATCTTGAGCGAGTGCAAGCAAGCTCTATACCAGCAGTTCCCAAACTGTGGGTCGCGACCCCAAATGGAGTCACAACATCAATAGATGGGGATGCGGGGGCCTGTGGGTTGGGAGTGAGGGGCCATGCTGAGGAAATGGGGTCATGCTGAGGAAATGAGGCAATAATGGGGTCATGCTGCAGAAAAGTTTGGGAAGCACTGCTCTACACCACAATCATCACTGTGTATTTTCTATATGGCAAATATTTTACAGAAAAAGAAAATTTAAGAAAAAATGCAGATGTTTACATTGTATTACTGGAACTATTTTTCTACCCTCCCAACTGTTAAACCAAGTATCAACAACATGGCCCTCTAAATGGATAACATTCAATCTGTGGTGGGCCAATACAAGGTCACCCTTACACAAGGATGCCTGTACTTTAGAAACATCTAAGATGACCTAAAATAGTTTTGCTTGGACTATCATTACGCAAGTAAGGTTTTTAGGGAATCTACTGGATTACGAGTGCTGTCTCAAAGAAGACTGGATAGCCCATACGACAAAATCACCCATTTCTATGTTACAACGCCCCTGCTGTAGGACTGTACTTTTGCTTGACACAGGAGAGTGATCGCTGGTGACAGAGGAGGAGAGCTATGTATTACTGTAGGGGCCAACATGAAACAAGTTCTATCTAAATTAGAGCAGTTTACAGATCCCTAATGCCATCTATATACCATCTAAGATGAACAATAAAAGCACTATGGCTAAGTACAGACAGCCAAAAAGCCCAAGACTGAATCAATTCAATCTTTGCAGGTTAGTCTAAGCCGCATATATTGAACTGATAAGCAAGTGAACAGACGTTCACTTCTGATTCCGGGAATGCAGCCACATGAGTGTAGTGGCTCAGGGCAGAAGCTGGGCTGCTAGAGGACACCTCCCTGCTCGGCTGGAGCAAATAGCTCGGGCCAAGGCTAGCCTGCCCATCCTGCAAGGGGAGGGCTTGCAGGGAGATGCAAAACATCCTGGGATCCTGGACTATGAGTTGACTTGAACTGGAGGGGTTTTGGGACAGAAGTTCAATAAACTGATTTGATCTAAATCAGTTAAATCTGATACTACATCCATCCAGGTTCATTTTAAACTGGTTTTGGCCATTTTGAAAGCAGTTTATGTGCACTGAACTTCTGTTGTGTTACAGATTTGAGCCAGCTTCTGATCACTTATACTGGTTTATGTGTAATTTCTATCCCTAGTCTATAGGATTATATTGTTTCACAGTGACCCCTTCCAACTGTTTCACCTGTCCATTCTATTCTGCTTTAAGTGAAAGCTAAATCACTGTGGGGCACCTATAAACATGCCAGACACCTGCTCCAATGCATTCTAATTAGAACGTGTTGGACCAGACTCAATTAATTGAGTCTGCTGGAGCATGCTAATTAGCATGCAGCCTCAGCATCACATATATTCAATGTTGCCATGATTCAAAATGGCAGTGGAAGAGCTTTAACTAAAGCTCATTGAATGAGCTTTAGTTAAAGAGCCCCTGCCACCATTTTGAAGTGCAGGGCACTGAATACATGAGACGCTGTGGACACTTAAATTAGCGCAGCTCCCAAGAGCAGCTCTAAGTAAAGTGCCCCCACCCCCACAATAAAGCATGTGTAAAGATGCCTTGTGGTTAACTTTAAACCTAAATGAACTTCCTCATAACTCCACTACAGCAGTATAGGAATAAAGGGACCAACCAGCCCAGAACAGTTTCCTGGAAGAGTCCTGACTTTTAGGGTTGTGTCTTCGAAGACCTTATTAAAACAGGGTGGTCATCCCAAATTTGAAAAAAAAATCATGGATTAGGACTAGGCAGCATTCTGATCAGGGCTTGTATTCACAAACCTTGCAGGCTCTGAAATAGACTAGTTGCTGTCAAATTCATGGTTTCTATCAGCTTTCTGTGGAGCATCATCTGTTATTGGGTGCTGGAATTTGCTTCCTTAAAGTTCATCATTTTAAATGAGAATAGAAAAACCAAAAAGTTACAGCAGATCAGCTAACATTCCCCCAAGCAATTAATCCTCCTGCCACCTCTGGCTCATTTTAGTATTACATGTGTTCACAGTCTGATACACCTTCTTCTACTGTATGTGCCATGGTGAGAGTGTGCGTGCTACAGCAGCCAGGTATATCAGTACTAGACAGCAATGCTACTCCTCAACTGTGTAAAGGAACCAGTTTCAAAGAGAATCTGGCTCAACTTAGAGGAATATTTAACTAAATATTATGTTGTGTTTGGTATTCATTGTCTAAATTGGTTCTAAGAAATAATCAACAACAATTTAAAACAGTGTTTGGGGTTGTTTTAGTGGGCTGCTGATGTATCTGATAACTCAGCTAGGGCCAACATAGTACAATTCAGCATAACTACTCTCTTAACATGCATAAATGAAAGGAAGAAAGTTCATACAATTTATACTTGCTGTTAACTTACTCATCTGGGCATTTTCTATACCGTCCTCCTGACATTCCACAGTTTCCAAATCGGTCTCCCTTAATATTGGCTATTTTAAAACAATCATCAGGTGCTTTTCTTGCCCCTACAAAAACAGCAACAAACATACCTATTATATTATTTTTAAAAAGACATTTAAAAAAAAATCAGAGATATCAGATATCTTTTTAAGGGTATATAGCAAAGCTTATGAGTTGCCTTTTTCTTCTTGATAAGACTTTTGTTACACAGACAAATAATTTAAAATACCTTTTCCATATAAAGATTTACACTGTGAATCAAAATCCTGGCAAACCCCATAATAGCAGTATTCTTTCATGTTGTTACATGGGTATCCATTCATGGTATAGACATCATCTGGACAATATGGGTATGTTCCATTGCAGTGTTCAGGAAGATCACAGAAATCCATTTTTGGTCTGCATTCTACTCCTGCTACCTTAAACTAGAAACAGAATAGGCTGTTACCCACTTTTATTATGCAACAGAAAAAAATTAAACATAAAGGAATAAAACAACCATAGTAGGCTAGGGAAGAAAATACACTCATAATTTTAGGGAAAATAAAATAGCTTTCCATATTAATGCCCACAAAATCTATCACCCTTGTCGGTCTCATGTATTTCACTGATATAGCTTATAATCATGGATAGCACTGATGCAGAATGTCGCACAAGGTAAACAAAAACAATAAATATACAGAGCAGCTTGATCCTGTACTCCTGAGATGATTGCTAATTCACCTAATTTTTCAGCCCAGTAGCAGGAATACAGCTAACAGGGAACCCACAGTTAATACTGCAACTGAAAAACGCACTTATCGCCGTGATTTATCAGAGACAGATTCTTTGCTCATCTGCTCTCTCTTTTCCTTTGCATTGCTGAATATAGTTTTGCACATAGGTTACCAAATCATACACATGTCTAAAGAGAGTGATAGCTGCTTTTCCAAAACAACCCCACAAAAATTCTTCACTTCTCCTTGGTAGCATTCTAAATTAGGTCCATAACTTAACAAAGAGGGGCTTCCTTAGCCTACCCTGCAATTTTCACAGCACAGCCCATCAGCACACTGTGATCCAGACTTAAGTGTGCAGGTTGCAGCTTCACAGCAAGGATTAGTACACTCCTGTAGCAAAGACATGAATTAGAGAAATTATTTTATCTGTCAGTGTAGTCAGGGGTTTTAACATGGTCAGACTAAAGCTGAGTTTTCACTTTTCTGTCTCTGTTTCACTGTCTAAAGTGTATAGTTCCCTGTTCTATTAGAAGCACGCATACAATTCAGGGTGTGTTGTCCTGAAGAAATCATCTGAAAAACTTGTTTATGACTCACTAATGTATAGGGATAAGAGCAAGTAAAGCATCAACCATGTTCCTGTACAGCTCATTTTTGTTTGTGTTGTGATATGGCTTTTAAAAAGGATCAATCTAAAGTTTTTTATTGACAATTCAAAACACTTATCATATTCCTTTTTTCCATTAACAGAACAACATAGGAAAAAGGTTTTTTAATGGCACAAAAAGCCTGGGCAACTGAATATGGGTTATTCCTCCCCTTTTCCATTTGACAGCATACATTGTGATTTCCAGCAACAGTGAATCATTCAGAGATACAAGTCGGAAGTGCTGCACCCTAGACAACAGTGTTGCACAGGGCAGTGTCCATAGCCCAACTGCCACAAGGATAGCTAAGAGAGCAGTGGTGGTGGCTGAGTTGGTGCCCTGGTCACCCCCCACCTTAGCTACACAGCCGGAATCAACAAAACTAACTCCACTGAATCAATCTTCACTCATTTGAAAGAGGATCATTATGAAGACACAATTACATGCAAGAAAGGGGGTGTTACTTAGTTCCTCCTGCTGGAAGAACTTGGTTGTGGTGCCAATAAAAAAAACTATAGCCACTGAATAGATAGCTGTACAAATAGTCTACATTTTTGTAATGGAGTGATTTGCATGCTGGAACTTACACTTGGAACTTACATGTTTTCTGCAATGCAGTAGCCAGTCTCTTAGGTCTCAATTAAACTTTGCATGAAGCCTATTCATAATGACTTCAAGCAGAGTTGGATGCCACCCTTAATGAAAGTGTGATTTTAGTCTTGACCAGCCCAGCCTCTGGCTTCTTTACTATTCATTCCATCCAGGAAGAGCACACACCAACTGCTGAAACATTCTTAGCCTGACGAAGGGTTTTTGAACCCGAAAGCTTGCTTAATAACTATTCTCCAACTATTTGGGTTGGTCTAATAAAAGATATCAAATTCACCCAAGGAACCTTGTCTGCCTGTGTCCTTAGACCAACACGGCCACAACCTACACCCCTGATTTTAGTCTTGCCATTCATCGTTATTTTATTTTTATTATTTCAAAAAAAAAGCTGTCAAGACAATTCCCATATATTAATAAACATGCTGCATATAGAAAAGCTGGTATTGGACCAGGCATTTCCAAATGAATTAAATTACACTACCTCTGGTTTGCCACAATCACATTCTTCATTCTTATCCAATATTTCATTGCCGCAGTTAGGTTCTGTGTATATGTCATTTGGTTTTGGAGGATTTTTAAGGCAGTTTCCTCCACCATTCAGAATCAGATTCTCAAAATCCTTGGCACTACAGGTGCTGAAATTTTGGGATCCACTAGAAAGCATAATATTACCTTGTGATTGATACACATATTTTTCCTAGTATATAACAATGTTAAGCTATTTAATAATTCTTAAAACATAGTAAATTCTATGTATTACTTTTGTCATGTTAATAGATAATGGAGATCATTAATTTATAGATCTGTCTTTTGCATTTGGGGAAAGGAATTTCTGGGAATAAAAGACTGAAAAGGCCCTTAAGAGTCTGAGCTAAATCTCCAGCCATAAGCTCTTTTCTTCCATTCTATTTTTGTCTCTCTTACATGAAACCGTACATTCATAGAGAAGGCAACTGCCTTATGGTAAAAATAACTCTTAATGGTTCAGGGGGGTGATTCTAAGTTAAATTTTCAAAGCTGCTTAAGTGACATAAATGCCTAAATCCTTTTGACTTTTTTAGGCTCCATTTCTATTTGCTCTTTTAGGTCTCCATACAAGGTCCACTTACTAAGATTCTTTGAAATTCAATATTCACTCAGAATGAATATAATCCAGTGGCAATATTTAACAGTGATAAAAATAAGAAAATAATATCAAGGGCTCTTACTTAGCTGTACTGAACATAATGAACGATTGGGGGCATCTTCCATCATCATGCTTCATACCCAGGTTATGCCCAAGTTCATGAGCAACTACCGTCGCATGACCTAACACTTTGTCATGATTCAACTAATAAAGAGAAGAAATGTTGACATTAACAGGAAAATGAAACAAGAAATGAAGAAATCATAAGAAAACATTACACTGACAATACCTCTTTTATTCAAAACGAGTCACTCTACAAATATGATGATGGTGTTCGCTATTGAAAAGAGAAAGCATATCTAGCAAAAGATTACATTTATTTATGTATTGGTTAACTGAGGCCCCCGTTCCGTCACCACTCATCATGCTGAAGAATATCTTACTCTATTGATTTGCTAAGGCTCCTCACAATGTGAAGTACTTCTCAGCATAAATAAGGTTTACAGCACCAGCCCTTATTTTGTTCTTGTTGTTATAGCACTGAACACCTCATTATCTTAAGCGAATTATTGTTAGTCCTGCCTCAAGCTGAGGTAGGGTGAAAGTGGTTAACAGCTTGCCTTGCCCCGTCCCCTGCAACGCACAAGGAGTGAAGCTCTAGTGCACCAAAGGATTTGGGGTACCGGGTATTGAGTATATGAGTCTCTGAGAGTGGTCAAAAAAGCAAATGAGTGTGATGTTGCCTTGCCATCTAAAAGTACTATCTCAGATGTACAGTTTAGAGAACAAGCCTTTTCTAGATCACCTTAAGACAGACACATATAAAAATACAGTTGAAATATGGTTTAAGGTCTATCTGATTTAAGCAGACTGCTGCATGAGGGAGAGGGATCTGGCAAGGGGAATCACAGCCTCACATGCTTCTGTCTGTGCACAGGAAACCCAACATCCTATCATAATAAACCTCTATGCTCCAAACAAAAGGGATAAATAGATCTTCTGTAGAGAGCCCTACATTAGGAACTGAGAAGTGCCGTACTTACAGTGCTGATTGAGCCTCCATGGACCTGAGAACAGATTGCACCTACAAAAGCCATTCCAACAGCTCCACCAAAGGAATCTCTCCCTCTGCAAAATAAGAACAGCACATACGTGCTGTGCTGAGACCACACCAGAATATGTATCCGTTTCTAGTGAAAAGAGTATCAATGACTCTGATCCAAACATTCCAAGATAAACCGTGGTCCTGCCGAGGTCAATGGAAAATTTCTCACAGACTTCAACAGAACTGGGAAGTAAGCTCCTTGATCAGAGAACTGTAAGTGTAGTATATTGGCTAGATATTGTTTCTCAGTTAATTAAAAATTAATTATAAGATTGGAACCAAAGCATGAAGTAAGCATTAAAGTTTCACATACACAGACAATATTACACTTCTGGCAGTCAGAAAACAAGTTTTCTAATGGGCCAAAACTTACATTATGAGATGGCTAGCATCATTTCTCGATCGTTTAAGGAGATCTTTCTCTCTCCAAGAAACAAATCTTTGCAGCACATCTCCAGCTGAACCCTCCATTACTGCTATGCGATTTTTGTCTGACCAGATTTCTATCCCAACCAAGACAATTTGGATGTTTAGTGCACTGTACATCTGAAAATACACCATAGTTACTGTGCATACATGCCAATGAGTTTAAAATGGGTTATGAACAATGATAACACAATTAGCAGTTCAGTATTCTGATAACTGAAACAATAGAAATGTAAGAAGCAATTAATTTAATCAGTTAGTGCTCAGTGCAAGTCAGGCAAAATCTTGCCACCTTTATTTAGTCACAATCTATATGGTCATGAGTAGGAGTTTTAATTGAGTAACAACTGCATAAATGAAGGTTCTCTTTATTAATGGAGATTCATAGATATATTCTTGTAGCCCCTTGATACTGGGCTTTAAAATCCCTATATGATGCCAAAGAAGAATTCTCTCAGCACAAGCCCTAGCTCAGTCTGTTTAGCTATTCTCCAAGGAGGTCTTGCACACCCTAGTCACAGAGGATAAGACTGAGGTAAGAGGAAAGTGTCAGAGTTGGGCTAAAATTGCTCCTCCCTATCCGCAAGCCCTGTGTCCTGCCTATCAGAGGTCAGTCTCCACGTAAATTAAATGTTTTAAATTAATTACATATCTATGTCTTATGTTTTATAACATCCAACTAAAATACAAACCCAGACCACAGTAATATAACAATGACTTGCATTTCTTCTGTAAAACATGATAAAGCAGACAACTGAATGTTGAGGTGATAGAACTGACCTACCCCGTCAATATAATTAATCAGCTCAACTACTTCCTTTTGCACAGCTGTAGCACTGGACAACTTCTGCAAGTACTGTAAAATTCAATATCAGGATGTCAGAGAGAGTAAATAAATAAATACATTTAATATGATTTTGTATTATAGAAAAAATATTACTCTGTTGTTATCCACAACGACAAAGAGTTCCACATAGTTTTTCTGTGGCAATGCAGATCGCTTTTTCTGCAAGTCAGAAACATACAATTGGTTATTTTAACCACTAGTTAGTCAATATTTTTGTTACTATTTTTATTGCCAAGTTATTGCATATATTGATAAGGTGATGACCCCCACTGTATCTTAATGGCAATCTCAATAGTCAGTTTTTCTGAGCTTTAAACTTTAACTCTGCAGTTAAGTACTTCAGATGCAGCCAAACTCAAAGGATGGTCTCTTACTGTCACCTTTATGTCCACTTTCCCTTCCAATTTCATGACTAGCTGGGGCCATATTTCCCCTCTGGTACATCTTAAATCAGCTTCAAAGATTGTTTTAAATCAGACTTAACAGCAACAGTCTCTACAGTATCTGCTTTTCCTTATCTGAGGATTCCCAGAGCCCAAATGTGTTCTACCTGTGCTGGGGTCCCTGAAATGGGTTAGACTGCTTGACAGACATACCTATGTCACTTGAAATGACTCTACACTAGTAATAAACACCAGAAAGTCAGCTAAAATGGCTCTTCTGACCATCTAAGCAGCCCCAAGGAATGTTCAGGTCCAAAAGAGAAACACAGAATCTTACCCTAAGAAGCTTTTCACTACTAAAATTTGCATGTGAAATTTCTGAATGCAGGAGAAAATTCTTCACATGTATTTCATGGTGCAGGTTGTCATTGGGCACACCACACAGGAAAGAGGTTTGCTGAGCATGTTCTAACTGATAAAACATATGTTCAAATGTAGCTGATCCATCAAGTGGCTCTATTCCATACCATTTGTCACCAACATAGAGGATTCCCCTAAAAACATAAAGGCGTGATGACTTATCCAACAGAACCTCCCCCACTTTTAAAGGTACAAGTAGCTGAATAAGCAACAGTTGCATATTTCATAACTATGACAGTCTTAATATTGTGTTAAAAAGATGTGTACACTGTTGCCTTGCATTCTTTTTATGTAAAACAGTTTCTCAAGAGGCAAAATGGGACTTGTTGTTTTAAATAATAGATCACCTACTAGTGTATAGCCTGAAATCAAGCATTTAGAAAGCCTGAGAATTACTAAGTTAATAAGAGGCTAGCATGTAGAACAGCTGCAGAGCTGCTCCAAAAAATACTATTCCAGTTTAGTAACATATGCTTTACACACCCATTTTGTGAGGATAGTGGATGGTTGGAACAGGCCTGTAACAGATTTTTCGCCCTTCCCTTTCTTTCAAGTGCTTAGTGCCCTCTTTTCTGTAACTATGTGAGGCAAGCACACCCTTGGGGTATGTACCACAAATGTGATGTGTACCAGATCTAGTCTCACCTCACCTTTGTGGGCTGTTCTACCTTCCAGTGGAACACTACCTATGGATGTTCGTTTCCAGTGGTCCTAGAAATCATCCCAGGAAAGGGAACAGTAGAGGCATTCAACATGCAGCTGCCCCCTCTCCCCTGCTTTCTGTGCCTTCCCCAGACCAAGAATCAGTCTGGAGTAGTGCAGCAAAGCCCCCTACTACTTCCAACACAAGTGACCCCTAGACTGGGAGCCAGTGGGGAGCAGGTATTACTGCAGAATGGGGCAAATGATATAATACCTTAAAATGCCCATGCCGTGAGGAGCTTCTTGCCTGTGCAGCACTACAAAGATGGTGCCTGCAGCCTCTCCTGGAGTGGAGCGAACAGTGGGCCAAAGCCCTCATCCTGTTCTCCAGACCAGGAAGTCCCTGGTCTGGGGAAGGGGTGGAGAGCATTGCCTCACTGCTCCCCTCCCATACCAGTCTGGGAGAGGAGAGGAGCAACAGTACAAACCGCGAGTCCTGGTCAGCTTCTGCTGTTTCCTTCCCCTCCTGGACTAAACCAGGAAGGCAGCATACATATGATCATTCTTGTGAGAGAAACTGTCTTACAAGTGAGATCTTCCAATGTGACCCCTGGAAGATCGCACATAAGGGGCATGTTTCTCCTAGAAGAAACTGAATGAACACATACTCATATGCTTGTCATTTCTACTGGGAGAATGGCGATTCTCCTGGTAGAAATCTAATGCCTATACATGGTCTCTGCTGCACATGATTCATTTGCAACAGCCTCAGTGCAACATTTTGTGCTACTTGCCACACAATGCAGCACTGTATGCTGTGAGCTCTAGGGTGAAATTTCCAAAACCTGCTCACCACTGAATTAAATGCAAACAGTTAGGCTAGTACTAAGTGCTTCTATGAAATCTCAACCCCTGCCCTTGAAAACCAGGTCTGTAGAACTGTATGAGCTACACTCTGGGCATGTATAGATCTATTAATTCTTATATAAACGGAAAGTATGAGCAACAATAAATTGCCCTGATGTCCAGCCAATAATACACTGAAAAGCAAAAGCAAACAATAATACCTAAGGCCATCACATGTGCTAAGGGCTAGCATAGACTCAGCAACTCCTTCAACAACACCACGATAATAACAGTGTGTCTGAAACATAATGAAACCACATAATTAACAATATAACAAACCTATTATTTGTACAATATTTCATTTTATTGAGGCTAGAGATTACCTTACCCTGCAATAGTCCCAGTTTTTTTCATGGGATTATTCTTGGAGGACAGCACTTAAAATAAATAGGATTTGGTCCTTTCTTACTCAATGGGCATGTCTACATGAGACACTTTACTGCCCAGTAGACTAATCTACTTCACTGTAAAGCATCACTGTCTACATGTGTGCACTATTTACTGCACAGTAAATTAGTCTACTGTCCAGTTAGCTACTACCTGTAAATATAGGTAGTAAACTAACTGCGCAGTAGATACTGCATAGTAACACTTTTGTAGACACAGATTGGGAGAAAATTTGCCTCCAGTCAGCCCCAACAGCAGGGGACCACAGGGGATGGGGAACTCCCCTGGCCTTGGCATTGCGTAGATCCTGGATTCTGGGATGGGATAGCTCTCTGCCCCTCTCTCCCCCACACAGCTTTGCTTAGCTCCTGGCTCCCCATAGAAGCCAGGAGCTGAGCAGTGCTGGGACTGGGGAGTTCTCTGCTTTCCTGCCAGCTGGGGGCTGACTGGGAGCTGCCCCAGAAGCAGGACAGCTCCTAGCCAGCCCCAACCTGCATTGGGAAGCCCTCCTGGGCATGGGCCAGGAAAGCTCTGCAGCAGCAGCTGTCTCCTGACCCCATACACATCAGGACCCCTCCCAATGTTCACAGGGCCAGGAGATAGCTGCTGCTGCAGCTGGCAGAACTCTGCTGGCCCTGTGCACATCAAGACCAGCCCTCATGCTCCCTGCCAGCCCCCCAGGGGAGCCTGGAGCTCCCCCTGGTTGCTACAGGGGCCAGAGCAGGATAGGAGCAGATTTGCTCCCAGGGAAGCTTACTAACATAGGTGCTGACTCCATGGGTGCTCTGGGGCTCAAGCATGCATCAAACAACATTAGCGGGTGCTCACCACCCATGGATCTAAGCTTGCAGGTGTTTTAAAAAAGCATTTTACTGGAAGAAGTGGCACGTTACTTCAACCCGGCTCTGCAGCATCTGTAAAGATCTGGTACTTCAGTGGGGTTTTTTAGCGCTTTCTGCTAAAGCTGATTCAATTCAATAAAAGTCAAGTGTTACTTATTTTGGGGTTTGTTTGTTTTTTTTATGTCTGGAAGCACCCACCAGCAAAAAATAAAGTCAGCACCTATGCGTAATGAGCAGTATTTTGCTGGGCAGTAAGCCTTTATAACATTAATAGCACATGTATTTGATATTTTGGTCATGCACACTACATAATGGCAATATAACCAACTAGCCTAGAGTCAGTTTAAATTTACAGGACATTCATTTTATACATTTCTCAAAACAGAGGTTTACGCAGATATTGTATCATCATAAATAGCCGTGGGTTAGGCCTCTTGAGATTTCAGATTTTATCCAGATATGCAGCATTATATATTTTATCCATTAGTGAGAGGTGTATAAAGAGTCACATATTCTAAAAGAGGAGTGATCAAGGAGATCTCTACGCGATCCTAATTCTAAGAAAGCTATTGTTCTTCCTTAGGTTTCCTTTGTACACCTTACATTTTTGTTTTGTTTTTGGTGCTCAAACTCAAGCAGCTTTCACTTCTCTGTGAGGAAAGATAAACTACAACCAGAATGAATGTTTGCATATTTTTAGTCTTCGTTCAAAATGTATTTCAAGGTATACACATCCTTGTTGTGGCACTCAGCTTTGACACACTTCTGGTCTGACCTTTGATAACATTAACTCTTGTCCCTTGTGACAAGGAAAGAGAATTTAACACAGAATAGAAATTTAATAAGTACAGTACCTTGATTTTTGAGTGGGTAGCCTCCAACTGCCCGTTTTTGCTATACGTATTTAACACAAAGTCTTCGCTAACAAGCTTTCTGGAAACACAAATAAACTTTTACTGCTTTAAAAGCCTTTAAAAAAAATACTTAAAATATTTTAGGAAAATATTTTGCTAATATATTAAGTACCCAAGCAGGATACGTGGCAAAGGACAGGATTATGCATTAGGGCTATGCGAAACAGCACCGTTTCGCTTCGACTTCTGTTTCTACGGAACAGTGTTTCATTTTGAGTTTAGTTCTGTTTCAAAGGCACTGTTCCATTTCATTTCATCGAAACAGTTTTGATGTTTTGTCACTGTTTTGACATTTTGTCCGGGCTATAATGTGGAAGCATGAAACTGGAGGAGGAACAGCCTCACACCCAGGGGAGGAGTTCGGCAGAGCCCCGCAACCCAGGCAGGAGGCTGCTGCTGCCACCTGGGACTGGCCCTGGGAACTGAGCCAGTGGAGGGAGGGATAGCGCAGCCCTGGCGCTGTGCTCCGCTATCCCACACTGGGCTCAGTTTCACAGAGCTGCCGGTGGCTGGGAACCGAGCCAGGTGGAGGTAAAGCGCAGCCCTGGGCTGCGCCCCACCTCCCTCCACCAGGCTGCAAGCCTCTGGGAACCCACCCCAGTGGAGGTGGGAAAAACGCAGCCCCCAGGCTGCACCCCATCCACCTCCACCAGGCTACAAGCCACTGGGTTCCCCTACTCGGTGGAGGCTGGGTTCCCAGCGGCTTGCACCCTGGTGGAGGGAGGAGGGATGCAGCCCCAGGGCCTGCGCTCTGCCTCCCTCCACCGGGCTCAGCGCCCAGCAGCTCACAGCCCCATGGAACTGAGCCCAGTGGCAGGAGGTAGAATGCAGCCCTGGCTCCATCCCACCTCCTGCCACCGGGTTGAGCTCCATGGGGCTGGTGGGGCTGGTGGAGCTGGTGGAGCAGCCTGGCGGCGGGAGGCGGGCTGAACTGGTGCTGCACTCCAGTTGGCTCTGCCAGCCCCAGGGAGTACAGCCCAGCAGTGGGGAGAGCCAGGGCTGCGCTCCCCACCAGGCTAAGCCACATGGGGCTGTGCGGAGTCGCTCAGAGCACAGCCCTGGCTCTCCCCTGCCTCCCACCACCTGGCTGCTGCTTCAAAACTTACCGTGTCTCGTTTTGAGGCTGTTTTGAAGCCCTCTGTTTCATTTTTGATTTCACTGTTTTGAGCTTGAAATGAGTCGAAACAGCGTCAAAACAAAACAGCCGGTGAAATTTTGCACAGCCCCACTATGCATCATTCAGAGAATAATTTACCTTTAAAAAGGATTTTTTGGTAAAAATATACAGCCATCTTTTTGTTTTTACTTTATGCATTATTTAAGTTATTGGCTGAATGGCTGGACTGTTAGAGAATATTTGGGGTATATAATAGCAAAATTAGACAAATCCTTTGAAATAAAAGGGGAAGGTTGGTTAACAAAATGTATTTCAAGGTATACATATCCTTGTTGTGGCACTCAGCTTTGACAGACTTTTGGCCTGGCCTTTGATAACATTAACTCTTGTCCCTTGTGGTAAAGGGAGAGAATCCCACTGCTTCGTTAATTTACATTTTGCAGAAAGGAAATTTTGAAATATATATTTTTTTACATAACAGTGGTCCTAATGAAAAATTTATCAGAATTTATTTTTAAGGAAAACAAGAAACATTTTTCAACATTTTTTTTACATTTTCAAGGCAGCACCAATATACAATATTTATTCATTTTCATTATATTCTATTCCTTCATTATACTCACTTTAATTCTCTCTCATACTATTCTAAATGGCCTACTCCAGAGGTTCCCAAACTCTTTCTCAGTGTGTACTCCCTTCCAGATTTACCAGCATACAGTTTATATTTTAACCCCTTAAATGCCAGTCACTATTAAAATGAAAATTAAAACCACCATTATGCAATTGCTCCCGCATACCGCCTAGAGATGTCTTGCATATCACAAGGGGTACATGTACAACATTTTGGGAACCCCTGGCCTCCTCCAAGCCACCTTCAGTACAAAACAGAATCATTAGTCAGTACCAGGTAAAATAAAAAATTGAAACATGGCTTAATCCATCATGTAACCTACTTATTTTTCTTTAGTTCTAGGATGTATGTTCCATTTTCAGTTTGAACTGAATAAGAAAGATTGTCATCTGAATGTTCCTAAAAGCAAAATAAAACAGAAATATCGCTTGGTCATTTAGTTTTCCACCAAAGCATAAATTTCATATTTTCTAAAACTTCAGATCTCACTATTACTACTACATAGGTGTGGGTGCATCTTGACTGTGTCTTCATGCATGTTTCCTGTGGAGTTGCCTAATTACCTCTGCAGTAAACATCTTGACATCTATACATGTGGCCCTATTAGGCCTCAGAAAACTAATGAACTCTGCATCAGGTTAGTACTTCTAAATACAAGTATTATCCTGCTGCTGAGTTTTTTCATGCCCAGCAATGCACACTGATCTGGCTGGCTAGGGCATGAAGGTGCTTCAGTGCAGAGGCTGCCTGCCAGCTAGCCCTGCACTGTAGCACCTTGTGCCCCAGCCAGTCCCTCCGCAGCATGTTGAGCCAGGTCAGCTGGTAGGCTGACCCCTGGGACCCTCTGCCAGCTGGGGCTGCTCCGACCTGGCTCAATGTGCTACAGTCCCGGGAGCACGTGTAAACAAGACACCAAGGAGCAATAAACTCCAGTGTGATATGCACAGGTTTATTGCTGCACATTAATATGCACATGTAGATGCACCCAGTTTGAGTTATTCTTACAATGTCATGTTTTCTATATTCCAAACCATGGCAGCATTCTTTGTCTTACTTTTTGTTGAAATGTTAAATATTGTTCAGCTAGGAAAACTTCATACAAATAAATAATAAAACAACTGGAAAGTAAGCTTCACAAGAAATTAGATATCTTTGGTAAGCCAGATGTATGGAAAAGTTGTGCTAGTAAAAGGAAACAGAACATAACTATTAGCATCAAACCCAGGCTACCAATATACAGTTATATACTCTGAAGAACGGATGCCCCTACTTTTATCTTGGTCAGATAATGGAAAAATTAAACCTGGAACAGTAAACAGCCAGGTTTGGCTCTTTGGAAGGTGTTATATATTTAACTATGACAGAATGGCTTCTGGCATCCGTATACAAATCAACAAATGAACAATACTCAGATGATTATTATTTCAAAAGTTATTTTGTTAAACTGGTTAATAGTTTCTTTATCGGTACATCTGCATCACCTTGGTAACATTCCAATTCTAAGGTAGGTGGAGACTGCCTAGCTAGCTCAGCCGTCCGTTAATATTTCTTAGACATTCAGGGTCAAATCCCACCCATCTTACTCATTTAGCCCCACTGCATTAAAGGTGACTGTTTGTGTTAGACAAGCAGTTTGGCCTTTAGCATTGATAAAAGGCACTAGTGGAAATCCTTTGTTTAACCATCAAACAGGAACAGTTTGGAAAATGTCAGTTCAAAGTTTCCATCACTTGCTTAACCTGACCAAAACACTTGTAGGCATGTTGTGTGTTATTGAGATCACCAACAGGACTGTTTTGAAGCTGATTCCTTGGCATGACAGAATTTACAAATAAGAAGTGTGACAAGAGGTATCAGAATGATAATTCAAATGATTCTGTACTGAAGAGTCTATGCTTTCACAGACATTACCATTAATGTTGCGCTATAGTATATATATGAAAGTCATCAAAAGGAAAGTCTGGATGGAGAAACAAACCTCAGGGAAATGTGTATTACGTTTCTCCCTACCCATCAAATGCTGAGGGATGATGATTTCAAATGCAGAAACGCTTGACATCTGACGGGAAAGTGCACCTAAAAACAAAATTCAAAATCTTTAAATTAACAGAAAGGGTAAATTATGCACAAATCTTTCAGATACACAACGGCACCTGCAAAAAATTAGTTTTCATCAGAGGCAAATTATCTTTAGGAAAAGAAAGGATAGTCTCATGGTTAAGGCCATAGTAAAGTTGGTGGTAAACACAGTAAAATTTCTGAGTAGTTGACTTTGTAACCTTAGTACTTTTTAACATAGGAACTTCTATTTAAAAAGCAATGTTAAAAACATTGTATATAGAAACGTCATCATCTAGAAGCATTTTGCATGCATCCGCCTCCCCCCCCCACCAAATAAAACAACAATTGGGTTATGTGCTTTAGATTCATTGCAAACAGAGTTCGTAGTATTATAATGCAGCTCTCTTGTCTGGCCCCTGAAGTGGATGAAGACACATATTTCAGTTATGAGTTGTAGAGCTATTTCCTAGGACAGCAAAGGAATGCTGAGGCTCAGGAATGATGAGTGAGGCTACAGATTAGTCACAGCAGTCACAGGGGTCACCATGAATCCCAAAAAACTCTGTGATTTATAAAGAACCCTGCTACTCCCATGGTAGTGGGAGGGACAGAGCTTGCACAAGAACAGGAAATAGGTAATTCAACTATTGGTCTGTAGGAAAGAATGGGGGCATTGCAGTTTCTGTGATGTGGCACTTCCAACTGGAGTAATATAGTCAGCACTGTAGGCAGGCAGCAAGTCACCTTGGTCAACTTTCTATGAACTTCCCTCCTTCCCTTCAAACATTTCTGCCATAAAACCTACTAAAAATGACAGTGACAGCCATGTTACAGGAGTGTAGGTAGTAGCCACGTTGGTCTAAGGGCATAGGCAGACAAGGTTCTTTGGGGAAATCTGATATCTTTTATTAGACCAACTAAAAATGTCCCTAAATTTTTAGTGGATCTAATAAAAGATATCAGATTTCCCCAAAGAACCTTGTCTGCCTATGACAGACATGTAACTTTAACAAAGGTGTCCATTCTATCACTAATGAGGACAAGTGCCAAAGCCCTCTGTCCCTGCCCCACCCCCTACCACTTTGTCCTTAGCCTAGCATGCTCAATGAAGACAACACAGATAATTTAGCTACCCAGATCTAACAAATCTTTACAGAGCATGTGAAAATGCTGATTTTTTTTGGAGATATGTATAATTTAGGCAGATTTTAAAAAAAGGAAAACCATTTTTTTCCTGGTATCAGGGTGATCTGTCCCAGCCAAATGTCAATACCTTCACTGAAAGTATGGGGATAATAGAACTTCTCAATAGAACAGTTCTAAGGATTGCTTTTCCTAACATGGGCAAAATAATGATTTTTCCCCCTAATCTCATTCTCAGAAATAGCATGGAAAATGTCAGACCAAATGGTTTAAATCTGCAAAATAACAGACACCTGAAAACAAGGTCTTACAATGGAAAGCGTTACCAATTTTTGGGACAATGCATCACAGCTTGCATTGCTGTGATTTTGCCTTTTTGTCGTCAATGGGTACAGCACCAGAACAGAAAGCAATGTATGAAACAGGAGAATACGAATGCTAGACGTTCCTTCACCCTGAATCTGTGCTGAATTTTCCTTTCAGCTGTGTAGTTACAATCATTACACCTCCGTTTCTAATTGAATATGTGCATTTTTCCTAACTGAATACAGTATGTGTATTGTTTCTCTACCGGTTAATGGGTCTCTGTGATTATCCAAGTGATTAGCAATCCAAATTATGGTTGCACATGCAGAACATTTTAACCACATTACATGTTATAATCTAAATATTAATATTATTGACACTCTCAGTTGAGACCAGACTCGATCTGCTACTGTTATGACAGTAGATGATACTACCTGCAGCTTTCAACGCCGAGAGCTAGGTGGCAGGAAATAAACAAGCAACATCTATGGTGCTGAAAGCTTTGGGTGGAGGAGAAATCTAGAGGGGGGTAGTAGTCCTTAACCCTGGTGAAGAAAATGACACCAAAAGGCAGATGCCATGGCAGGATGGACTGGTTTCTCCAGCCTTGGTTGGCAACCAGTCTAGGAGTGGAGTCCCGAAAGGCAGACAGATTGAAGATCTTCTTCGTACCGGCAGCTCCTGCAGCCAAGCTGGCTCCAAATGTACTGGCTTCTGCCTTTCCTTTGGGATCAACCAGATGGCTGAGAGGGGAACATTGATACTATGGGTAACTCAAGTGTCTCTATATCAACTGCCCAGGCCATTGCAGACAAAGTGGACTGGAGAGGATACCCCATCTTTGCTACTTGCATGGGTACAACACAGAAGGGGGCAGTCACAGGTTATAAGCTCAACTCAACTGGAATAGAGTAGAGCGCCATGGGTCACCTTCATCGGAGGGAGGCATCAATTGTGTTCCACCAGTCAGCTACCACCTGCCTTAAGATGGATAGCCCCCAGCCAGTAAGGTGCTGACCCACCATGGTGCGTCTGCCTCATTTGGTGAGCAGGGCTAGACCAAAAATTGAAAAACAGCTGGCAAGTGAAGTACCAGGCAACAAGAAAAGAAACTTTAAAACCTTTCAGCTGGGAAGCTGGAATGTCAGGACCATGTGTCCTGGCATGAATGACAATTTATAAATGATGGACAGTGTCTGGAAGATTGATCGGGAGCTGCAAAAACCTAACATTGACAGTGCATCCTTGCAAGAGGCAAGATTGGGCAACTCAGGCTCTATTCATGAGGCAACTACACCTTTTTCTGGGAAGGCAGGAGCACAGAAGTTACTTGCCTACATGGGGTCGGATTCGCAGTCTGCAACAGGTTGGTCAAAACCATCGAGACCCCCCTGGAACACCAGATTGCATCATCTCACTCTGACTACAGTCAACTGATGGTTTTGTTAACATCATTAGCGCCTATGCACCAACTTTACAGGCAAGTTTAGATGATAAAGATAACTTCTACACAGCACAAAAGTCCAAAGAAGTGCCTTGACTTTCAAATGACCTTTGAGCTAGCTGTGTCTATGAAAGCAACAACTGCAAATGCTGAAGGAACTTGGAGTGGACTAAGAGCAGTCATACAGGAAACATCCACAGAAGTATTTGGGAAAAAGAAATTATCAAATAAAGATTGATTTGAAGCACACTTGGAAGAGATGCTACCACTTGTTGAGGCCAAGAACACAGCCTACCTAAAAGACCATCAGAATCCAATAGAAAGTTTCAAGGCTAAGCTAAAGCATGCCAGGGCAATGGTACAGAAAACAGCCAGACAGAGCAAATCAGTACTGGAGTGAACTGTGTCGAGAGATACAGTTTGTCTCAGACACATGAAACCTGTGAGTTATATATGACAGCCTGAAGAAAGCCCTTGGCTCAACCGTCGCTAAAGTCATCCCACCTCAAGTCTTGAGATAGCAAAGTAAAAATCACTAATAAGAACAAGCAGATGTCACACTGGACCGAATATTTGTTAGAGCTTCGTTTCCATGAAACAGACATTTCAGAAGAGGTAGTGGATCAACTTCCAACTCTAAGAGTACTGGTACAGCTAGACAAAGAACCTACAGCTGAAGAATTTAGCAAGGCCACAGACTCTTTAGCAAGCAGAAAAGCACCAGGGGAGGATGGCATCCCAACTGAGGTCCTCAAGTGTGGGAAGGCTATCCTGCTACCACATCTTCATCAACTCCAAGTGTGCTGCTTTAAGGAAGGTTAAGTACCCTAGGACATCTTTGATGCTAACATCATCACTCTGTACAAAAACAAGGGAGACAAGGGTGACTGCAACTGTCTCGGACGGCCAGGGCCGACTCGAGTTACGCTCGTACGTCAGGGCGGGCTGGTGAATGGAGAGGCAGACACAACTTATTGGTTGCAAAAACTTTACTCACGCCGCTTGCAATCACGACGCAGGTGGTCCGGTCGTCGGAACAACCACACGAGTTGCTCCAGCTGGCAGGGC